CCGGGTCACAACCGGTTCGTCACGGGCTACTATTAACGCTTTGTTATACCACATCAAAACTGATTATTTATACTCTGCATTTTTGTGAATACCATCAACATCAACATACCCAGTATATTCCCAACAGGTTGGGGTCTGGGGGGTCAATTGTAAGCAGACCTTACCCTTATAATTATACAAGGAGGTTGTTTCCATAGCGACCCAAGGTGCGTTGCGTCGTTTAATATATTTTTTCTAAAAACTTCACTAATAGAAGAAGCACTAGAATTTAATTGAGCCATTTTGATCTAGTCCATTCTTAGCACTATGCTAGGAGAATTGTCAACAATGACTCTTCCAGCTCCATATGCAATGGACATAATTTTTGTGAATACCATTACAATCAAATATATTGCCGTTTCTGGTGTAACACCCATATGTTTTTAATGTTTAGTGGTGCATTTCGTTTCTTTGTTTGGTATTGATTGAATGTGTTCTTGTGGCCTTAGGTGCTGGAGATTCTGGCAAGTCCACCATCTTCAAGCAGGCAAGATGCCTTGCTCTTTTTTGGGACATGATCACTAGTTATTTGTTCATTTATGGGTGCATTTAATTACAGACGATACGAGCCGCTAATTACTTCTGAACGCTTTGCAGATTAAACTTCTTTTTTAGAGTGGATTTGATGAGGCTGAACTGAAAAACTACATCACAGTCATCCATGCCAATGTTTATCAGACAATAAAAGTATGAAATGTATGAAAGGGTGTGTTTGTTGGCAGAATGCACAACGTTTTTAGATTACATTACTGTACATGTTGAAAATTGTACATGTAGAATCTTATTTAGTATGTATCATTCCTGTAGATATTACGTGACGGATCGAAGGAACTATCTCAAAGCTCCGAGGATTCCTCAAAGTTCATTTTGTCTGTTGAAAATAAGGTATGTATCACTTTCTTGTAGCTTTTGCGCTCATTTTCTAGAGTCATTGATTTAGTAAATCAGCACATTTATGAAGATTTAACAACTTACAAATATGGTCTGTTTCTATTTTCTAACTTGCTAGAGCAGAAACTTATAGTTAATTTCTTATCTGCATCAGCAAATTGGGGAAAAATTTTCCAAGATTGGTGGTGGGTTGGATTATCCACGTCTGACTAAAGAACTTGCTCATGAGATTGAAACTCTCTGGAGAGATAATGCTATACAGGTGTGTTGTGCTTCCATTCAATAATTCTGCAATTAATTGAATTCTTATTTGATTTTTGCAATCAACTATTTGGTTGTGATTGCCCCGGTAGGAAACATATTCCCATGGAAACGAACTTCAAGTTCCAGATTGTACCCTGTATTTTATGGAAAATTTGCAAAGGTTGTCTGATGCAGACTATGTTCCTACTAAGGTATGTGAAAACAAGTTTGCTGCTTGAACATATCCTCTCCTCCTCTCATCTAAATTTAAAAATTGTCATCTTGTGAAGAAAAGAATATGTTATCAGCTACTGGAGGAACAAACTATAATATAGACCATTATTATGAATGCTTGCGATATGCATAACCATATTGACGAAAGATATAAAACAATATGAACAAGTTGTATGATGTACTTTTGTGGTAGGGTAAATTTATTATGTCAATTTGGTCAATACATTTTAACTTTGCCAGCACAGGCTGAATTCAATTATAATTTGTTGAGACTTTAGAGTTATTTTGGAGATGCAAACATTTCTATGGTGATTCTGAATATGATTAGTCCTAGTTGACAGAAATAATTAAATATTGAGAGCTGACCAGAACCCCTTCCTTGTCTGCTTTTGGCATTCTTCATCTCCACTCTAGAGCAGCACCACAGCGATCATTTCTTTTGCCATTCTTCAGCATTTGCTAGTTAAAATGAAATTACTCACTGTTAACTATTTGAGCGGGATTAATCTCAGACAGTCACTTCTTTTGTCATCCAATTTTCTCATATGACTTTTTTCTCACCACCAAAAAAGGATACCAAGTCCATGAT